TTTAAGGTTCAAAAAACACATTATTTTCCACATACTGTACATTATTATTTCTCCTCTATGCCCCGCCTTTTTAAAACGCGTCAATTTTTACAAAGCTCATCGATCTGAAAAGCGAGGTGTGCTGTGATTGGCCAGCTATGCAGTGTGTTGTGACTGGCCGAATACCTCAAGCGTGAGACGAAAATGTTACGCACCTTACCATACTGTGATGCTGTGTCCGGCCGGAGCGGCTAGACAAAAACATTAAAACCCATTATAAACGAGGCATTAGTTGCATCCAGTGGGGACATAATTACGGATTATAATGACTTATACTGTCTTTTTACGTGTTGCTTTGCATTGCATCGCGCCACGTAAACAAACCATGTCTGCATTTGTGATCGGAGAAATGACAAACAACAAGTGCTACTCTACACTGCTCAAAACTTCTTTAAATATGAAAACGTACTTACAGTCTGTGAGTCAGAACAGCCGGCATTGTAGTCTACTCTCCCAGGATCAGGAAACAGTCCTCCATAAAATGCGCTGGACACATCTGAATATTTGGGTTGAACTGTTCTGGAACATTGTTTAAATACAACTTAACCACTGATATCTAGTCGTGTCCTCTTTTGGAAGGCCAAACAAAAGTATTTTCGCTTTCGCAATGAAACACACAGCGTCTTCACAACATGGCGGCGGCAGCAACAATAAAGTTACGATTTCTTTCTTTGCGTGAACATTTGGGCAGCGTTATGCAAATCTTCCCACATCGTGACGTAGACATGTGGGGGCGTTTAAACGAGGCGTTTTAGGAGGGTGTGGACCAGTCTTAACTTTTATAAAGAATATCTCTTTGGGTTTGAGACGTTAGTCTTTGCAACTTTAGGGATCTTATCTATTCACGAACAGCTTGTAACACTCCAAAGAGAAAGGAAAGCTTGAAATCGCATCATATGACCCCTTTAATTATGTATAATAGTAGATTCCAAAATTGTGAAAGTTTTTTGACACTAACTTAGCAGACAGACAGCTGATTAGCTTGTTAGCCTATTTCCTACCCAAATATTCAAATAAACTTTTTTTTTGTACATGCAGCCATGTTGTTTTAAAACAATCACCTGATCTGTAAATCATGTCATGTGACTAATAATCCCTTGCAAAGTAGTCAGATCTTTGAAAAAAAAGCAAAAATCTAAAGTCTCTCCCTACTGTGACGTGTATATATGAGTGAAACATCATCTCAAATGAGAAAAAAAAATCTGAACTTAATTTTGTCTATCAGGAGTTGTTTGGATCATTGACATTTACTAGTTGTTGTGGTCTCGTGATCATCAGGTGTTCGATGGGACGGATTATAAGAATAAGAATTCTAATTTTTGATTCCATGGTGATTTTAAGTACCGTTTCTTGCTTTTACAGAAAATCAGAGGAGGAGGTGGACATGGACAAAGTGACAGCTGCCATGGTGTTGACCAGCCTGTCCACTAGTCCTCTGGTGCGCAGCCCTCCTGTAAAAGTTAGTGGTAAGTCATTTTAGATCACAACCACACTGTGATCTCAGCCCTCATGAAATCATTTTCACACTGTCTGCTTTGAGCTGCAGAAACGGCTTGCTCTACACTCAGCTATTTCCTGTTTTCACAGTCACATGTGCATGAAAAACTGTCACATGAGACGGTAGTGCACTAGTTCAGCTGTCATGAGACTGACTTTTGCTGTCTTCTCTTAAAGCGGTCATCTACTAATAACTTAAAGGGGCCATATTCTACACTTTTGTAGCATTTTATTCCCTGAAGTACTTTTAAATGTTAGTAAAGGCGTCTTGCACCAAAAACAGTCATAATTTAGTTTTAACGGCCATTCATATTCTCTATCTGACCTCCCACAGTTTTTAACACTGTACCTTTAAGACTTATAGGTACATTTATAAGTTTATAAGACTACATTTATAACTTATAAGACTATATTTATGACAGTATGTTTTCACATCAAAAATCATTATTTTGAGGAAGATTCAAGACTCATAATGAGCTAAAAATACAATCACACAAAGAAACAAAAAAGTCCAAGGGAAACAAGTAAAAGTACAATCATGTTGTATGTCATGTGGCCCCTTTAAGACCTTGATGAGGATGTGTTATAACTTTTGAAGGGCTTTAATGGAGTACTATAATTGTGGCTTTTATGTAATATAATTAGGACTTTAACTTTCTGTTATTACAGTGTGTTACAGCACCGCTGCACACAGAGTTTCATAAACTAACATGACATTTATGTCTTTTCACTCGTCATTACACTTAATTGAAAGTTTAGTGTATTATAAAGCAGTATATATGTCGGGATGATGGTAATTACTGCACTTAATGTGTCTTTATGCTTTCACCGTGTCTCTCCATACAGAGGGTCTGAACGGCTCATGGAAGGACGGAGGCTTTACTCCATCCAGCTACAGCAGCAGTGGATATTGGAGTTGGAGTGCTCCCAGTGACCAGTCCAACCCATCCACGCCGTCCCCTCCCCTGTCCGCTGACAGCTTCAAACCCTTCCGGATGCCCAGCCTCAGCGGCCCACCAGACGACATCATCGATGAGCATGATGGGAACAGCTTGCTGTTCGACGAACCCATCCCCCGCAAACGCAAGGTGAGCTGCTGTCATCTCACCTTCACTTATGGAGATTTCATCAGACATAACTTAGTTAAACGTTACTATAGGAATAATGGATAAAGGGGGATAATAGATTTACAACAAGCGGCACAAAAATCCGCTGCCGCACATGTTTCTGGCAGGGTTTGTGATCCTTGAAGTGGAATTTAAATGCAATTTAAAGTGAGACAAAGACTTGTATTTGAGTGCTGAATACTAGAGGGTTGATTTGCATATGCATCGGCACTAAAAACAGCTTTTGCAAATAAGTAACAGTATTATAGTTTTTTTTAATATCATTGGTGGTATAAATCGGGTTGTACTCCTTTAGAATAAAGACATTTTTCGATATATTCAGTATATTAATTTTAAAATGAATGGCTGATTCAAATCAGGCCAATCAGAATTGGGTTTTTAAACTCAAGTTATGGGTGTCTGCAAAATCTAGTATAGGAAAATCTAGCATCAGTTGAGTTAAAGGGATAGTTCACCCAAAAATTTAAATTCTGTCATTAATTACTTGCCCTCATGTCGTTCTAAACCCGTAAGACCTTTGGAACACAAATTAAGATTTTTTTGATAAAATCAGAGAGCTCTCAGCAATGAAACGGACATGTTCAAGGCCCAGAAAGGTAGTCATAAAATCATAAAGTTACAGTTGAACCACTGATGTCACATGGACTATTTTATCGATGTCCTTACTACCTTTCTGGGCTTTGAACGTGGCAGTTGCGTTGCGGTCTATACAGGATCAGAAATCTCTCGGATTTCATAAAAAATACCATAATTTGTGTTTCAAAGATGAACAAAGGTCTTACAGCTTTGGAATGACACGAGGGTGAGTAATTGATGACAGAATGTTCAACCATGACTGTAATGCCTTTCAACCCTTGAAATTTATGGGAATTGTATATGTATGTATTTTTTAAGGGTGCTATTCATGTATGTGATTCAAGTGATTTGATTCATTCCAATTTATTTACAATATAAATTATATACAGAATCTTCAGGACTCAAAATATGCATTTCAATTGCTATTTATTTAACAGACATGATACAACGACCTTCCAACCCTAATCAAAGAACTGCAGCCACAAACCAGTGCAAAAACCTCTTTGTTCAGTGCATTTTACCTGTGTTTCAATGCAGTAGAAGAAATATGCATTTTGAGACCTGAATCACGATTAGATTATTTTAACTGATTGACAGCCCTTGTAATTTGTATTTTATTCCTGTGTGTGACAAGACTATTTCCTGAATTTAGAGGAAGATGTGTAAAAGTGATTTTATATGTGGTCTTATATTAGCCTTGCAGACAGATTATTTGAGAAGTCGTGGGCACATATTTCTTAACTTTTAATAACATACTGTCCTCTCTAGGATGTGGCTCATTTGGAAGTGCCGTTACTAGACATGATGATGCTGTGTAGAGAGGCAATTTACTTGTCTTTACGAAGATAAGTTACCAATGCAGTAGGCTGCTCACAGGCACCGATCTACTTTATCTTCCAGTTCGTCAGGCTCATGTCAGGTGCATCCCAGATTCTGTCAGTCTTCCCTCATTTGTGAGAATGAATAGACCTCCTTTATCTCTGTTATTGTCTCTCCAGCTTAGGATTCCAGGACAACAACAGTGCCAGTGTTCGTCAGTGCTCTGTTTTCATTATCACTACTATAATGTAAAATATGCATTTCATGGACATATTATACAGAAATAATTAAGCAACTTGTCATTGTCATTACAAATATTTAAAAATGTGAAAATATAAATATGTAATCAAATTTAAAGCCCCCCTTACGAAACATATTGTGATGGTACCATGGTGCAATAATGGTTATCATGTTATTAGATGGTGAAACTGTGGCTTTTTGGTAGTACTGAACAATGTTGTTATCAATATGTTGATATGTACATAGTCACTCCAAGGTACTTCAAAAATAGCATGATGGTTCTGTGGTATTAACTACAAAGCCATGGTGTTACCATTAAAACTGTGGTAGTTCATTGTATACTGACTATGTACCATAGTACTTACATCCTTTACAAAAATTACTTTGACAGTAGTATGGTACAGTGGTGGTAATATGTTATTCTTCGTGATTTGTTATAGTGTGGTACTTCATGGTGTTTAGATGATACTCCAAAGTACTTCCAAGAAAATCATGGTACCACCATGGTAAATAGGGAAGGGCAATATGACCAAAATCTTATATCACGATATGATTAATTTTATTTCATGGTAACGATATATATTACAATATTATTATTTTTAACATTTTTTTTTTTTTTTTTTTTTTTTTTTTTTTTTAATTATTT